TTATTTTTTTTATTTTTTTTTGTCTTTTTCTTGGTGACCCAACTTATGGGTCACCAATAAAGATGGTCTAAAATGGGTGGCCTAACTTACTATATTTTCTCCTAAAGTCAGAATAATATAAAATCCTCACATCCAGAAAACACTATATACAACCATTGGGGTTCACATAAGGTGACAGCACAGTATCAGTATGCAAAACAAAGAACAAAAGAGGAAAAAAATGGGCAAGATTCCATAATGTCCTAAGCAAGTCGGCTCATTTAGCAAAACGGCCATCATCTATATACAATATCCCAGATTGACTGGTATTACGAGCAACAATGAATAAAAGAATTAACTAATATATTCACAAGTTTTGCCAGCAGGACCGCATATGTATCGTTTTCAAGAAGACATCAGCATCTTCTGTTTAACACGCTCGGTCAGCTTCCCGCCGTGTTGTTTCTCATATTCATCCTTCAATTCCACCAGTCGCTTGGAAACCTAATTAACATTTTAATATGTCAGTAGAACATGAAAAGAATGCAACCACCTGGCGTAAAGGAGATTAGCGTGCTATTTTTTGTCTATTTGAATAGAGTGATACTTTATTTTTTAATCGATTGGGTTTGTCTAGTTACTTGTTTAAAGTTTTCCAATTAGTCCACAGCTCAAAGCATAGTCCCCACAGGCAAGCAGGCCTCACATATGGTTCAGGTTAAGTTTCTATATATTACCACAAATAGTTGAGCCATTTTCAGTCATTGACCAACCTTGATTGAGTAAGCCATTGGGAGTAGCATATCAGGGTTCATAGCATCCTCCGGAAAGTTGCGTAACGCGTGTATTAGTTTCTCGAAAGGTAACTTCACCTGTTGGCAGTATTGAGGAAGGAAGGGAAAAACGAAAAAAAGACAAGAGACATGTTTTACGACCAAAAGTGAAAGAAGAAAAGAAACCATGAAGTTTAGGATGTGAGAGGAAAACTGTACCAGATCATCATGGCAGTATTTCAGTAGGGCTAAACCAACTTTGAAGACAATCTTAACACCCTAGGAAAAAAATGTTTAACATCCTAATCATCACAAATTCAAAAAATTGACAAGTTGATTTCAAATCTCGCGCTGAAAAAATGCTAACCTCAAAAAGAAAGACGTCCCAAATCCTAAGAGCCAAATGGAATGGGAATGAGTAAGAAAAAACTGTTATGAACCACTGGCTTGCGTACATGCTAGGATTAATCATTTCTTGAGCAAAATGCTCTCCCAACTTGGGTAAGTAATAGGCCACCAAATGATCAAACTGGTAGAGATACTGCTGCACAAGAGGCAATCCAACCTGCACAAAATTATGATATTTTCTTAGGATTTAATGCAAATAAGAGAGGAGGCACTATTACGTGGCTCTATACTCAACATACATTTGAAACTTAAGAATTGCAAGCATACAAAATACAATCAAACTGCCGAAACAACCCAAGGAAGGATGATGCAAAGCCCATCAGAACAACTCACTGTTTTTGCTTCTCTACTATATTCACTTATCCATGTCTGTGCCTTTAAAATGTTGCATTAAGAATATATGGCACTCTCATTAGTTGATTCTAAATGTCTAAACCAGCCATTTTTTTTTCGTATAAAAATATTAGAATCATCCATTTATTTCATATTCGTGGATCATTGCTGCAGAAGGCATGCACGGTGTGAATTTAAAAAATTGAATGCATTGTCAAGTGAAGCTATATCTATACAAACAGACATCAACAGAGATGATATACAGTCTGTGGCTTTAAATTGTCAACGAATATAATTTTTGGAGTGACGTACGATATGGAGAAATATTCCTGGATGAATTAATGGCTGCTCTAGTTTTGTGATCAGGCTTCTCAAACGAGACAATGAAACTAGTTATTATGAAAAGTCCCGACACATGAAATTTTGTAGCAACTTCTATCTTAGTTTTAAGAAGAAAAAGATATATTACTTTTCCAATAGCAACACATAAACTAATTCTACAAAAGAGAGAGCAAATAGAAACAGCATCCCCGTTTTGCGTTTTTTTAATAGCATACATCTATTTAGACACACAACAATTTCTCTTACAGTAATATAAATTCCATTATAGTAATTACTGTGGGCCGTGGGAGCACAAAAATCTGAGATCCTATATCAACTAACAATTCAGTTTGATGGTATTGTACCTTGAAATTTCAAAAAGCCTAAAAATGGTCTCAAGCCAGGAAATACTACAGAAGTGAGGTATTCAACAACTTGTAATTGCGGCTTATATAGTCATGACATGAGAACCAAGCAACGAAATTATCCAATAGATCAATTAATTACTTTTAGATTCTAGCAAGGATGATAAATATTGATTTACTTAGTCTAGAGATTGAGTGAAATCTTAGACTAAAAACTATACCAAATATAGTCCTTCCATTGGAGCATGAACAGCTCCTTTCAAGAGCGCCACCAACAACCAAAATGCATCTTCTTCACTCATATAAAGAAGCAAGAGACCTGCCACAAACCCCATCCCCTGCAACAAAACATCAATCCAATAATACATTACTGACAAAAACATGTTCCTTAATAGACGACTCATAGGTTGATCGTATAAACCTGCACATATCCAACATCTCTGTCATATACAGAGTAAGCTTTCAGGACATTATAAAGAGATCTCTGGCCTGGACCATGTCTCTGCTGGAAGAAAACATGTGAAGGGAATGTACGAGAAATATCCCGGATAATATCTAGCTCAGAAGCAGAAGTCTCATATATAACTAGTTGCTGCAGCCAAAAAAACCCGGAACAAGTACAGATTAATACTCTGCTGGTGTATTTAGATTTTCTCCTTTACGAAAATAGCACATAGATGAGAAATAAGACGGTATAGTCAATTCAATATTATATAAGAAAAGTTAAAAAGGCTTTGATTCATTAAACTGCAATAAATATTCTAAGAGAAGCACATTCTTTGCGGAAAAGACCGTCTTTCTCAATTTTTCTGAAATCATCTCACTAACAATTACTTTAGAAATATTCTTCTCATCAAATTATCAAAGACAGAATTTTAGATATATTCTTCTCATCATATTATGAAAGACAAAATTATGTAAACAGTATCAAGTGTCAATGCAAAGTTTGACAATGCATTGCTGCAAATCATGCATTAGATAGCATCCAACTCAATTCAGATATGTGAGAGCAGCCAAACAAAATTTCTCAAAACACTTGAGGTGCAAATAGGAGGCAACGATATTTCTCTCTCCTTTGAAAAGCTAAATTCTGAATTAAAAGTGTGCAACTAAGAGAGCTCTCAAAATGCAATTTGCATGAATCATAACATCTTTTACCTCATAGACACCTGGATTCATAAGCAAGAGGTCCCGACTACCAGAGACTAATTGCCAGACAAGACCTCTTAGACAATCAGGGATTCCTTTCCTTATTCTCCTTTTAACGACATGAGGTTTCCGCCTTACATAATGCTTCCAATCACTTCCCCCCACCCCTATCATCTTTCTCCATTTTCTGATTCTCCTTTCCTCCCTGAAAAATAGAGTAATGATAGTTTTATGATAAAAGCATTCATTACTGCCAAATTTTCCTCAGTTTTAAATTTGCTCTAATTGGTCTACTGCTAATTCTAACTAATTGTCAGCTGAATACTTAATATACACTGACAGGCAGCATCCATATGATAAATACTACAATTTATTGAGTCCTGTTTATTCCAATCTTAATTCCCCTGATTAAGCACACAAATGTTGTGTAACTGCAATCATTTTGGACTATCGAACTCAGCTTAAACTGAACCTACAGGTTTTTTAGCTTCTTTCAGCCATCTCTACAAAATAAAATAAAACAAAAAATGGAAGAGACTCAAAAGAAGCCTTCTTAGCATGATAACCCCATCCACTCAAATTTTGGGTATATGGTTTCACAATAGCACCTTTACTCTACGCCTTCCAAAAGTTGAAGAGCAAGCCCTGCTTGTTAAATTTCCAAAATTGAAAAGATGTTCAAAGTTCAAAAGATTCATTAATGGTTGAGTATTCAAACAAAAGGGGGTTAAACATCTCAAAGTTAAGTTATGTGATAAGGG